GAGATTAGAATGAAAAAAAAAGTCGTGTAATCTACACGGAAAGAAACCATGACTTTGAACCACATTATTTTTTAATGCCTCGTCGTGATTTTTTTTTTCCTGTACCCAAAGCGCTAAACGGTTATGCAATTTGACCAAAAAGTGTCATATAGAGTAAATGGGCAAAAATCGCCGTCGGTAAGGATGCGATGAGGTCTTTTTTTATGTGTCTATATGTTGCCTTGTTCCCACTTGAAATAAACGCAAAAAGTACTACAAATATGACGCTTTGTTTACATCACATGAAACGCAGTAAAATACTTAACATATTCATTTTTGTAATGAACATCAACAAGCAAAACCAGCACATTTTCAAGCGGATTTCGACGTTATGCTTTGATGCTCGAGTGTAAATTTCAAGAACGACGAGATAAGCGGAAATTCGATTTTTTTCTCCATTTGTCTCTCTTGCTCTTACTCTCCGCACAAAACATCGAGGGTATTGTTTGTGTTAAGTTACATTTATCCATATAACATATGGATATCTATTTGCTTTGGCTTTGATAGCTCTCGTCTACATTCGTTCGCGTGGAACAGCATTTGATAAGAAACAATGACCCTTTTATTCAAAATGGTCCCAAGTGAACTGTCACTCGATATCAGTCTTTGCCCATTTGCGGTATCCACTCCACACTCGCATTTTTCTACTGCTTCTGCTGCTCGTATACTTGCTTTTTTGCTGCATCGCGACCGGAATACTAAATTGCGAATGTTTGGATGATTCAATGTGTCGCTTTATTTGTCGAAGCTCCGTTCGTTGACGATGTGTGTTTGTGTGTGTGTTTTCTCTTTTGGATTTTTGCCATATATATTTTTACTAATCAAATGACCATTCGGTGTGAGGGAGTGCAAATAGCGAACTTTCACATTGAGAAATCATCTGATAGCCGTGTGTACTGCGACTGGCTCATGAATCACAATTCGCTCAAGCGAAATAGCCATGCCGAATACAATATCATGTTGCATTATTAAAAAAAAGGACTCGGAGGCAATGTCAAGAGTCATTCGATATGAGAGCCGAAAATCTTCTCGGTTTAGTGAACATTCTTCTGTTGACTTCCCCATTCAGCCGAAACTTTGTTTATTCGGAATTTTTCAAGATATTCTCCATGTTCGAAAGTCCATATTGCCACATCTTTTTCTTTGCTATCGTTGAAATCGTTCAATAGGTGGTTTGACTAGTTCTTTTTTTCGCGCCAAAAGTTACAATTTTCTATTATAGTAGACATCGATGGTTGAGTTTAGAAACCTCTTCATTTGAATAAATTCATCGAAAAACAAACATTTCCCATGGGAACGCAGTGGTTTGGTGAACAATGAAGAAACAAAAAAAGAACAAAAAATCTCTGGTCTTATTTCCGACATTCGTTGACTTATTGGAAATGCACACCTTTGTTACATTGTCTTGTATGTTGAGCAACACAGCACAATCACCAATGGCATGTGATGTGAGTAAAACAAATTAGGAAGTTTTCAGGATTTTGTCGTGTCAATACAGAAAACTTTACTTTTACTTCACCTAGCTTAAGGTCGAATTTCTTGGCGTATATCTTCAAACACTGGTGTTTGACTTTGCACGCAAACATTTCAGAAGCCGATTCTACTAAATTAAAACGAAATCGTAGACAAGAAGTGGGTGTGGAGCAGTGGTTCTACTTTTTCTGATGAAACTAATTTCCCGCGTCGTTTTTTTGTGTATCAACCGGGCGGACGAATCAGTGCAAACAAACGAAATCACTAGCATATCGAATTGAATACGTATCGGTGGATTGTTAATGGACCAATTTCCAAACATACAAAACAAATTAGGATGAACCACTGGCAAATTGGTACTACTTAATATGCACTGTCGGTCTTTGCTATTAATAGAATCACAAAGAAAAACATATAATTTGAAGCTTCGATACTCTGGTATTACTCTTTGTGCCGTGTCGGCACGTATTCCATCGAAAAGTTGCACCGAAATGCGGAGCTTCTTTTTCTTGCACGGCGAGACGTTTTCATTGCAAACGCAAACAAGTCGTACAAACAAATTCATTAAGCCATCGAAGTCATTTCCTGCATTGGCATGCTGTTCAAGGGCCGTGATTAATTTGGAAATTTTAACGTAAATACTTAATCTTCAGCTCTTAAGAGAGCGAACAAATGAAAATAATGCAATGAGTGTGTTGGCGTGCTGAAAAATCAGATCAAATTCGCGATTCAATTGGAAAACACTTTTTGAAGAATTTAAAATGAAAATCAATTAAATACTCGCGCGACGAAAGTGTCTTAATGCGACTTAATCGCCGTTTGCTTTTGTTTTCTTTTTCTGCACCGTGCAATAAATAGGTGGGAAAATCGCGTGTTGCTCAAGAAGAAAACTTAATCGCACTTGAAAACTTCTGCAGAATTCATCGCTCTTAATAAATGGACGGTGCTTTTGTTCGGATAAAATGATTGATTCGATTACCAATCATCTGTACCAGGTTTTTGAGGTGTAAAATCCCTATTTTCACACCTATTTCACACAACAACATTCATTGCCGTAATGAATTGCTGCGTTTTGTAGCATTCGTTAGGGGAAAAACTGTTTCTTTGGGATCAAAATGAAGCAGTTTGTCATTGCGTAAATAACATATTTGGATGAGATGTAAAATCTGCTCTTGTTTTCGCCATGATGCTTACGTGATGCTTTCAATGCGTTTGCCATGAATTCTCCCTCACCTCCATGCGAACGGAAGACGTGTGTGTGTGTGTGTGTGTGGCTTGTGTGTCGGTCTTAAATTAAATTCATAATGAAATTCCCAACGGAGAAATAAACCATAATAGCAAGCAAAAAGAAGGCCTGCCAACCATTCATATAATAAAATTCTCACTTACACCGTTTCACATTCGCTATTCAATCCAACATTCGTATAAACCGCTTGTTTATGTGAACGAAAAAGAAAATCGGCATTTTGTTTACATTTTTCACACAAAAGCCAAAAAGATGTGTCTATGGCATGTGGCGTCGCATTTAACGCAACAAAACGAAAATACTTTGCAACTCAATTTGTTTCTATCATTGTTGTGTTTCCAATTTTTTTTTGTCGCACACGGCTCTGGTGCCAATTCATAAAGAGCAATGACTGAAACGTCGATGAGAATTTGCTGGCTTTCAATTTCTTCTTGTCATATACCATGCATAAATTGAAAGAAAATCCGCGCTATTTTGCCGTGTGCCACCGGTATCACAATATCAAAGCTCTTCATTACCATTCGAACATCTCTACTCGTTGCCTAAATAAACTTATTGCATATTTGGCAAAGGCATTGTTTCGGCTTTCACACATTGGCACGCTCTCTTTCTCTCTCTCTCTCTCTCTCTCTGTCTCTCTCTCTTGCCTTGTGCCTTTTCAACATTCCCACTATTCAACGGATACTTGAGCATACGGTGTATGTTTTGCTTAGCTTAATACTCGTAAATGAATTCCATCGAATGGGTGAATATTATCCGCAGTCGTAGCCAACAACTGAGCTCAATGCTCGTTGTGTGCACGTTTTGCATATGTCGTTTTTTGTGTGTGCACACATCCCAATGTGCAATTCGGTGACACATTTACAACACTTTGTTGTTTTTAACACCTATTTGGAACAGAAACATCCGCTTTCGACACTTTTTTTGTAAGCATGCTATCGTAAAAAATGCTACATCCCTAACCATGCTATCGATTTGTAGCAGGTCCATATCCTTTTCTAGCTTATCGTATGCTGTGTGGTAAAGGTACACATTTTGTTGAGTTGACTCTATTCAATTGGTCTATATTTTTAGCTCATACTATGACTAGTGGATTTTTGTGTTAAAGAATAACAAGTTTAACTCTGTTTGACTTTAAAGTTGCATTTTCTAAATGCTTATCCATTTCTTCTTTTAATTTAACACTGTTTGCAAACAAGGTTACTCCAGTTGAAATGATAAGAGTACATTACAGCTATAGTTCAAAATGTTTTAAAATTGGACACATTGTATTCGTGGTTTCATCAGCCAATTCTATGAATACATATGTAAAATGTACAAAATGTGGTTTCTTGAATAATGATGATAAGAAATCAATTTTAAAAAATCAAATGGTTACAGTTTGAGAATCTTTCTAGGAAACACTTTTGTGGTGCGCTATACAAATTGTGCAAATGCGAAAACCGCAGGAAAAAATTGTTCATTATTATCAGTGGAACTATGTTGTAATTGAAGTGGTATTATATAATTGAAATTTTCAATTTATGATTTATGGAAAACTAAATGTCGAAAAGGAATGCACAATTGCACATCTCTTTTGCACTCTGATTGGTCAAAATGGATGAATGTTCCTGTTGTGTTGATAATTTCTCAAATTTCTTGAATGTTCGCGTTTTTAGTCGAGGGGGAGACACGAACTATAAACTAAGAATCCAAACAATCAAAATACTAATCCCACTATTCCACTAATCCACGAATTCCAATAAAAAAACAAAGAATACACAGAAGATCCGCACGAAGCGAACGACGAGAATAATAACAATAACATTGAGGAACATCGAAGTAAAACAAGAACCCTATTCCACGTGTCTAAACCCTTTTTTGATATTGCAAATTGAACAAAGGCAACAAGTTCAATCTTGACATTTATTTTCACATTTGATCATTGTCGCCAAGAATATGATTTGTGTTAAAATGTTACATTTTTAGAAGATAAGTGCATTTGCTATCGCAATCTCAAAATCATAGGCATCTCAGCTGCCACTTTGTTGCTTTCGATAAGCCGATAATCATTGTGGTAGAAAATTAACTGCAACAATGTCAGTGTCAAATGTACAACAAATTAAGATATCTTAACCGCGTAGCTGAAGTTCAACATTTTTATCAGAGATTTTCGACACAATACCACAAAATACTTCCCATGCCAATCACTACATCTAATTCGTGAACAGTATATAAGGCACGACATTGTGGACAAGGAATCAGACGTTCGTCTACTCTGATGAGATAGAAATCATTTTTGGTATTGAGCTACCGAGTAAGTGAATTGAGAGTGCTTTAAGTTGACACTAAAAACGGTTGGTTCATCATTATAACGAAAGTTGTAAGTAATTTTCGAATTTTAACATTGAAAAGTGAAAAGTTGAAAAATTGGAAAAAAAAAATTGTCATCCGTCTCAAACTGTTGAACTACGTTTTATTACTTTGAAATGTTATTTGCCTTGTTTTGTTTTCTTTTCGCTTCAATTGTTATTCACGATTAGAAAATTATCGTTGCATTTATTTGCCATACTATTTGGATTCAAAGTACAAAATTCATTCGCCTTCCACCAATTTCATCTTCTGATAATGCTTCAAAGATGGTTTTGAAGTAATGTCAAAATAATATAATCTCAACTAACAATAAGTTTATTTGCAACATTAGTAAATCATAGTCTTTTGGTCGTGTAACCAACACAACTGTACAAAGGCAGATAAAAAAATAGTATATTATTAACAGTTAAATTTGAGTTAAATTTGTCAGTTGAAAGATTTGGTACAGTCGGAACAGACCGATTCAAATTCAAATATGTATGAATTCATTGTTTTCGTCGTTGTAAATCTCTTCTGACGAAATCATCGTACTTATTGTCATTTGTGCAATTACACGATATTGTTTTTACGTTACAATTCAATTCCTCATTTTTTTTACTCCACAGACTAAATCAAATCTATATCACTTTATCGTCACTTTATTTGAAACACCAGAATAACCGAAGCAACAATGGCATCCGTTTGGGACAACTTTTCCAAATTGGCAGAGTTATCACTTAACTTCAAAGACCTTAGCGGTACAACAGGTGGCATTTATGCGAATGGAAGAAACCGAATCGAAGTCCAGATTGCAGTTAGGGTTCTGGGTTCGTTTACGGAAAATGGAAATACTGTAACCAAACCGATCACACTCACCGAAAACGATTTGAAAGACAATATTTATTTCTGTGATTATCTAACTGGTGGGCCGCTTGACTCCAAGTGGACAGTTTGGGATTCGGCTAATGAATATACCAAAGGTTTTCGCACCCGCCAAAGTGTTTCGACCCAGCAATCCAACAGTATCACCAAGTCACTTGACACTGAGGCTGTACACGTTACCGTGAACGCAGTTGGAACTAATCCAGATGTGGGCTACATTTCCAAATATTTTTCGTGTACAAAAGGTAATAGCGAAAAGACATTCGCTGTTGGAATCAACATTCCAGGTGTTGGTAATTTTGATACATCTAAAAACGGAACAACAACATGGAATGGACCGGGCGGTGTGGGTAAGAGTAGATTCATATCACCCGCCGCATTGACCGTCACTGCTACACCAGAACTCGTTTACGCTGAAAAAAATTTAATCATTGAGAAAGCTTATCGAAGAAATGAAACAAAAAAGCGTGCCGTCTTTAAGAGCTATGCGTCTGGGTGGTATGCTACGAAGGAATTCGAAGCGTATTATGACAACTACTACATTACTGTCGAGAACGGAATACAGAGAATAGACCTGCATTCGTACGGTGGAGAACCGACAAATAAGTGGATCGCTGAGTTGACAAGCAATCATAACAATCAGCATATGATCGTGGTGCATCCGTTTGGTACTGGCCAACAGACAAATACGTTTGGCTTCTGGGGAACTGTCAATAATGGTTCAATGAACTACAATTTTGAATTAGAACAATATGTTACTTTCAATGATCGACCTGGCGCCTTTTGCATTTCTCAACTTACTTTCATGTGCAACAGCATATGGGATCTTCCGGACGGTGTTGGAATCGGTGGTTGGACGTTCAATAATTGGTTTGATCTGTATGACACCTATGGAAATCATGGCCGATTCAAACCAGTATATGATGACAGTCATCAATTTATCGAAATTCATTTGGCTTAATCTATGGCACCGTCTTGACGAACGAAAATGGACAAATGACTCTCCACCAATTTATTTCTTACAATTTCACTTTTATAATCGTTTTTTTCTTTAAGCTCGAAATTTCTTAAATTTTTTCAAATTAAAAAACTAGAGCATAACAATTCTTTTTTCACAGTTCCGTTCTATTTTATAACTTTTTCTTTTCAGATGATTAAATATTAGTGTAAGTGCATCTCCGAAAATTTTGTTTGTATACTGAATAAAATTCAATCTGCAACCAAAAACCACTTGTGTTTTAATAACGTTTCCTAATAGTTGAAAAAATCCGCTGCATAGTTATTTGAAGAGTATTGAGTACAATGAGCTGTCACCAATCAAAAATAGTTTGTTTTCCAAAATTTCAACTTAAAATTCTAATTTTCGAACCCGTTATGTATGAAAATTTGCAATCATCTTCGAATGAAGACGCTTCCGATCGAGCTTGCGAGGCTCCTCTGTATTACATTATCTTCCACCAATTGACAAATGATAAGATTGGTTCACGTGTTTGAAGCTGTAGATTTTGAATCCAATTGCAAACTTCATAGGAGTGTCTTGTCTAAAAACCCATCTTAAAATATTTGTTTGCATCGTCATTTACACACCATTCCATTCCATTCACTCGTTTTGAACTATAAACAACGTTGTTGAATCAATGTATGACGAATTCAAATGTTAGTTTAGTTTCGAAATCAATGAATTCGTAAATAGAATGCATTGCTTTCCTTTCAAATGGAGGCTATCCCTTAGTTCGTAGCCTGAATGAAATTATCAATCTAATCAACGGCCAAATGCAATGGATAAATAAAGTGGATTGAAATGATCGCAAGAAAAATTGGAAACAATTACTTGTCAACGCGATTGTGATGTATGATGGCACATATTGCAGTATGTCTTAGCCATTGATGTCATGCGGTAAATAAGAAAAACTTTAGCACATTAAAATCCTGAAGTCATTTGATCCAATTTTTTCTTCTTCTTCCCCCAAAATGACATACGGAACAAGGAAAATTAAAATGAACACCAGCTGACTATTACGATGGTACATAAGATTTTATTAAGTCATAAAGTTGCTGCACGACGGGAAGATGTGCATGATGTGGAGCGACGTCAACAAAAACGGCGTAGACGTGGAGTAATTTTGAACTAGTTGATGTTATGGCTTCTTCATGGCGCTAAAAAATTCTTATATTGAAAAATACGATATGATGATACGTGGCGAGCGTGTGCAGTAGTAGATTAATCGATGGTTCGTGTGTTGCATTGAGCACATGCCATGCGACACGAGACTTAAAACCCGAGAACTTCGTTGAAATTCCAGTTGAGTGACATATTTATTAAATAAACAGGAGCATCGAGCAAAAAGAGTAAATTGGCTAAACGAAACAATAACCTGAACTGAACTGAAACATAAAATGATTTATTGCCATCGGTGCAGACGAACGACGCTAGATCTATCGTTTGGTCGACACCAGCACAACTTTCAAAACTCGTTTTGGCTTCAATATCGGGAAAATCATTTCATTTTTTTTACGAAAATTTTATCGCATCAATTTTGTACATCACTAAACGATTCTAGTTTTAAGGGTGATGCTCATTTTCAAGCTCAAAGTCACATTTCGGAATCTATTTCCAATTTCCTTCAAACGAATGGGAACGATCCTTTTGTGTGGAAGTGTGCTTAAGGTCAGTAACCAATTTATATCGATTTGGTTTGTTAATTGTGGGGCTTTGTCGAAAACCAATTTTCTCTCGGAAAAAACCAATATTCAAAATGAAATGAAGCACCACCAAAAACCATTCAAACCAAATAAAATGGCAATAATTTTGCTCGTTTCTGGAAAACCGACATCGCTCCCACATCCATGAAAAATAAAACATTTTCAAATAAATTACACTCGTTCGCTCGTTCATTTCAGAACAGATCTCATGTAATTTGCTACTAATTATTGGCATGTATATCAATATGCACCGCACATACCATGTGAACAGCATCCAAACATACACAAATACACGCGCGCGCGCGCGTCAAACATCTCAATTAACCTGTTCGATCCTATTGGGAAACGAAAATACGATTGCGAACCATAACAACCGCAACCCATCAACAAGAGAAAAAAGGCATCCTCATTCATTCGATTCTAAATAACTAATTTAAGACAGTTTTCTTGGCCCATTCTCATTATGAATTGGCAATTGGCCGAAGAGCACGAGGGAGATGGAGATGGAGAGAGTGAGTGAAAAGATGTAACCACACTCATGATACTCATACAAATGATGCTGTCTATTAATTTAGTATTATTTCCGGATCTGTGTTTAACACGGTGCCACAGCACAGAGCGGGAGAGTTGTTTTTCGGGCGGTGAGAGCATGTGTTTCTCATTGATAATTCGTGTCGTTTTTCCCATTTTTTTTCTCTCTTCTCGTTCACTTCGTTGCATTTCCTTTTGCTTGTTTTGAGCTTGTGTGATTTGCTGTTTTCGTATTTCGTTGTCTCATGGCGTTGATTGGTTGGCAGGCGATCGATTCGTTTCAGCCCCCTAATGTACCATTTCGGCATATGCGTTTCGCAGTAATAGACTTTTGTGTTGAGGAAAATATGCGCGCCCGATGAACGACCGTTATCGACGAACCCTTTCCAAAATTGATGGGTAATTTTCGTTCTGTTTTGTGCCATTCTCAAGATGAATATGTACAGAAAAAGGAACGGAGCTTTGTCGAAATCATTTACATTCTTAGGCTTTCTTTCTCTCTCTCTCTCTCTCTCTCTCTCTCTTTCTCACTCAAAATCCTTAAATTTGACACGCATATTCTTTTACGCCATTTTTGCAGGAGAGTGAGTGCAAATAAACATTCATCGAACACAAATGCTCTCGTCACACACATCACACACCGCGTGTGAATTTTTATATTTATTACAAATTTAGTTTCCGAACCCACTTTCCATCACTGTAATTTATTTTATTATCATTCACATCTCTTTTTTTCGCTTTCTCCCGTTCTTTATTTGCAATTTCCGTTTTCTTTGTTGCGCTCGGCAGAAATGCGACGGAAAAACGAACCGAAAAAAAATATCATCAACTGGAATGTGGTGCGCTTGCTAAATGAGAACAGATAAAAAGTTATGTTATGGAACAAAAGGTAGATTCCCTTTATTTATCTGGGATTGTGACGTGCGAGCCCCGCATGCACAAAATACTCCGTAATGGCATAAGCAACATTTTGCCAGAAAGCGAAAAGTGAAAAAGATGTCTGTGAAATGGAAATTGAAATAAAATGATTTTTTTTTAAGCCAGAGTCGAAGCAAGCACATTTTCCCGTGCACTTTTCATCCACTCTTGAACACGGTGTGTTTTGTGCGCTTCGGCGTGTGTTTTTAATTACAATGTTTCTGTGCGCTGACTATATCAATATCGTTGAGGTGTACTTGCTGCTACAAATTATCGTGGGAAAGTACTACCAACGACGAAGAGGACGATGACGACAACGTTGCACTGAAAGTCTATATAAAGTTTATGGGGCAGCAAAATACCGAATAAAGCATGTCGTGTTACTTGACTGCCGTCTTTTGTTCTGCCCCAACTCTCGTTCACTTACATTCCATAATACGCAATTATACACTCAGGTGATAGACTACGGAACGGCAAGTGCTGTTATTCTCTATCAGACATCTTTTTGCAAGCCAAAAGAACGAAAGCGAGAGAAAGAGAGTTTTAACAGGCAGAACACTTGGTTTTAATTTGATTTTAAAAGGCTCAACTCAATTATGGAGACGAAAGAAGAAGAAAAATGTTAGTGACATACAATTGAAAAGTTATGGCAGGAGTCGCGTGCACAACATGATAAATTATTCCGGAGTCTTCTGGACTCAAGCAGTGGCTGTGCAATGAGAGACGGCGAAAAGATTTATCGTGTTGATTTGAAAAGAGGAAAACATTGAATTTCAGATTCAGATTAAGAACATTTTTTCCCCTCGTAATCAATTGCCAAGGTGATTGAGCCAAAGAAAACGAAGGAATTTGGCAAATCTTCTCAGCGAAATCTTCGTAAGGGAAAAAAAATGCGAGCAAATATGGCTCTATTAATTCCGATTAGGAGCGCAACCATTATTCCATATCTTTGAAACAAAATGGAACGGTCGTCGTTGTCTTTTGTGTGCGTTTCATTCTTTTAGCGAAAGAATACACGGAAGACAGTTCTGCAGCGCCTTTTTTATGTGTTTTAATTTTGTGCATTGTGGATGCAAGATCATTCGAACAATGTATACGATTCTGGCGTTGGCTGGTACACAGAGCATGGGAGACCGCATCGTGTCTTTGGTCGTCGAATCCTCGCTTCTTCTTTTTTTTTTTTATCATGATTTATGGTTTTTAAATTATCTTTAAATGTTATATGGATCACTGAACAACTGGAAATGTGCCAGTATATATTTTTCATTGCACCGTTCTCATTCGCTTCGTACATTTTTCTTTTTCTCACGATTGCTGTCGTTTTTTATTTGACTGAGCGAACTGGTGCTCGTTTATTTCTAGCGCTGTATTATATGAGAAAATATGTTTTATATTGAGAAAGAGAGAGAGAGAGAGAGAGAGAGAGAGAGAGAGAGGAAAGGAAAGAGAAAAAAAAGATGTTTGGCGCTGGTTCTAGTGGTTTCAAATACAGTTTTGTGAAGAGTTAGTTATGGTTCACAATGATGTGCACACTGCAATATCGAAGCGCATCCATACACACACACACACACACACGGAGAGAGAGAATATCTCGCTTCGTTGATGTGTGCACCGTCCGTATAATAGGGAACGGGCCATTTTCACATCCAGCCCAGCTAGTTATTCGTCGCTTCACTTCACATTATCAATACCGTTTATGGTGTGTTTGTCCTATGCTGCTGCCACTGCTGTTGCTGTCACATCGAATCGGCCGTTTGCCGAGCGATGATTTTCTAATAAAATGCACTTTATGGCAAAACACTTTTCCGCCAAGGTGAATAAATTCTTTGCATAATGTGATGACTGTCTTTCTCAGTCCCTCGATTAAATGTGAAAACAAAAAAAACAAAAACGAACGCCTCGATGATGTGGAATAAAAAACAACCGCAATAAATTGAATATGCAGATAAATTGCACTGAAATCTATAAATTCATGAATCGACTTATTGAAATCAGAAAGCCGTCTGTTGTCATTATCTAGCCTCACACTTCTTCTTTTTTGTTCGTTATTTATTCGTTCGTCGCGTTGCGTTGAACCGTTATCATTCATATAATTTAAAAACGCATTTAATTCAATAGAAGCATTGGCAATAAAGCATATTCCCCTCTGCCAACCCCACCAGAAAAAAAGCGTATAAATATTTTGCTGTGCGCTCAAAACACGTGTAAAGTGCCGATAAATGTGCAAGCAGGATGTTGTGAAAGAAACCTATTGTGTGTTTTTCGGTTGTTGCGGTATGGCACCGCGGTAGCGGTGAACGCAAAATTTTTTCACAAGAGTTTTGGTGAATGCCAGCTAAATTAGAGCATGTGCATCTCTGCTCCCTCTTCGTTCGTCGGATGTGTGTGTGTGTGTGTTTGTGTTTTTGTACGAGCTCGCACGGGCATAAAATTAAATTCTCTACGTAATTGGCAGATTGCATTGTAAACCGAAACCATAAAAGCGAAAGCAAATTATTGTCAAAACAGATGCCACTTCCAATAAATTTTCCGCATTTTTCCCTCATTCGAGCACATTTGTTTTTTGCTCAACGTGCCAGTTAGACTCGACGTGCGTGTATGTGTAAGAGAGAGTGAGAGAGAGAGAGTATAGGCAATACTCGCACCTTGTTGCAAATTATATTTGATGCTCACATAATGCAACATTATTTATTTGCTTGATCTAACGGCTCAATTTCGGTACATTATTCTTGAAATACTCGAATTGAATTGATGGGTTGAAGATGGCAAGGGATACATTTCAATATGTCATTTGACTTCATTTTGCGACGTCGTTTCGTTGTATGTATGTTTTCTCAATGATTTGTGATCGGTGCGCTTTTTTGCTCGTATTTATGATTCATTTTGTTTCGATGGCTAAAAATAGCTGTTCAATAAATTACAGGTAACACAATTTATGGATTGTGTCATATGTATGATTTGGTTTTCACATTAAAAAAAAGCCGCCATGGCCATTCAAACGGTGCAACCATAAAATGTAATGAAAAATATGCTTTATGCCGTCGAACATTTTATCATTATGATTTTGTTTCGAACGCTCTCGGCGGATGTGTATCCGTTAAATGGCAATATTCGTCGAGAACTTTGTAATTTTAATGGACACCAAATGACCATTAAGTAATGAGATTTTACGCCCCAAAGATATCATTTCGAATTTTCATTTAAAATTTATGGCGCTCACGAGATACACGCTCACTGAACCATTCGAGCTGATGGAAATGCCACCAACAATGTTTGCCCGATATCTGGTGCAAGTATTTCGAAACATTGTTACGGATTTTATTCAATAATTTTCTTTTTTGCATACATTCAGGCGCATTTCGCACACGCGAATTTCATCATTTGTTTCAATGGGTTTAAAGCCGCACATTAAATTCAATTACACTTGAAACACTTTGAGCGGGATCAATGAATAAATTTTTAAAAAGGGTGAAAGAATAACTCGAAATCAGATTATTATTAACGAAAAATTCGGTGATCAGATCAGCCAAATGTACTGCGTTTGACTGTAAATAAAATGTTCTCTTCAAACTGGCGCTTCAACGATTAACGTTTTTATTCGGGGTATCGGCGTTTTCCATTCAATTACTTGCTCTTCTCTTTTAGTTCTTTCTGCCAAATTGGTTTATCTAAATCTCAGATCGTGCATTAGATATTCAACACTCGTTTTGGCACATAGTTTATGGCCAACAATGCTTTATGCTTGAAAGTGAACGCTTGCAACGAACCATTTCCATCAATAAATTCTTATGTCTATTCATAATTCTGTGTAATATCCATAAATCCAATGCGTGACGATTCGTGAATACCAAATATTGTCGAACGGAAATGCACAGCGAACAAAGCAAAATAAAGCCATGGATTGGAGTAAGTGGGTGTGCTGCAATGACTTCATATAAACATAACGTACAAACTTGTGAGCAAGGAATTTGTGTTCAAGCAGATTCGACAAATATTAGTTAATCAATCTGAGAAATTGGTTTTGCGGAGCAGCAAGCTATGCCATGGAAAATACACGCACTCTCAGATTGATGAGAATTTCTTGCAAAATTTCTTGGAACATTTTCTTTGGCGCGGTTTGAAGAAAGATTTTCAGATTATTCGCACGTTGCACAAAACACATTTATCTAGATATTCCAATCTGGTCAGGCCATTTTATTGGTTCAACAACAATTTATTTTTCTTGAAATTTCTATTTTTCCTCTTAAAAACCATTTTGATAATTGAAAATGCCATGTAAATTGTTCACAATTCCTTTGCGAACGAACCAGATTCATTGCTGTTCGTAAGATTTTCAGATATTTGCTTTCCATCCGATTCGGAAATTGCATTCTTCTCTAAATCACCTGACCCTTTGAACTCCATTGTTTCATGTATGTCATCTATGCTGCTAGTTATTTTCCTGTTTTAAGACCAATCTCAGTTGAAAAATCTCAAATCAAATCTACTTGAAAAAAACAAATTTTTATTCACCGAATAATCAAAAGCATTTCCTCTGGCTCATATGTGGTTTTTCCTTTAGCAAATTCATTTACCAGTTGATCAATAACTTAATTCAAAGTGACATTCATTCAGCGAAATACTTTGATTGCAAGTCTTACATCACGTAGATCTTTTTCTGTTTTCGATAACAGAGAGAATACCACAAAAAAGCAGCGTCACAAATAAATATCGATAATAAATCATTTTGAAATAAATTTGTGCCTTTGTTTATCGCCGATTCGGCGACGCCGAATGTGGTAAGGAGATGCTTCGTGTAAAGTTCAATTCGTACAAATGCAAAGAATATAAAAATGGAAGAAATGTGATGTAATTACAGTTTAATTTAGAACAGCTCTCGACAAAATAAACACACAGACGACGGAATAAAACGAAAGGTCGGCTGATTCGTGTTTGTAAAGGTGGTTGAATTTAAATTCGGTTCATTTTTTTAACGCATTTCGACAGACTGCGACAGAAGAATTTCTTTATTTTCATTTTACATTACACAATATTTCATACATATATTGGTGTATATTATTCGCAATTGACACGTAAGGTGAAGATTGCACAAATTTGAACGAATTAAAGTTCTTCTTTAATCTCGTTATTATCCTCTTCAGGTTGGACTTGTTCAGCCTCGTCCAGATGTTCGTCAGGTTGGACTTGTTCAGCCTCGTCCAG